AGGTAATTGGCAGCAGGCGGTCTCTCAAGTACCCAGGTCCAATACCATGAAGGGCTTTATAAGTAATAACTAGCACCTTGAAAGTGGCAGCTGACTATAGGAACCTTAGCAAAGATTGCCTATTTAAACTGAAAAGCGTAGTGGAAAATGAGGTACATCTCTCGGAAAGGGGGGGAGAGGGAGGGAGGGAGATACACATTGACTCAGAAATTGAGAAATCAGAGCCTAGCAGCAGTGATTTTGCCCAATGCAAGAAAAGGAAATAGTTTTAACAGAAATTGATGAGGAAATCAGGGGAAAACAGAATAAGGGTTGGTCTGACACAGATTTATGAGCGAGGAGCTATATGTCCTACTTATTTTAATTTAAAAAACGTGCCACTCAGAATGAGAATAGGAAAATGCAAAATTTATAATGGGGAAAGGAAAGAGTTTCCTAATGTCCAAAATAAATTATCCAAATGGTTTTTACCAGAGATTCCTTCCTGTCTTTTTACGACAATGATTTACAACACAAATTTCTGAAATGCCATGGCCATCCCCAGAAGTATATAATTAATTTTTCCATGAGTATAATAATGCAAAAAGATGTTCTGGAATCTGGGATCTATGTTTCTTTTCCAGGTTTGGAAACTGATTTTTTTTTTAAATTGTCACCAGCATAGCTCAGCTTTTATACGTAAAGAAATACCGACACTTGTCATACCATTACAAGAGAAATGAAAGTGACCACGGAGCAATTGCACTTTCATTTCATATGCGTTAAGCTTAACTCTGCCTGATGCAATTTATGTAAACAGCAGCCAGTTCATTGCACACAAGACATTTTATTGGTCAGACAGCATTCTGAGTACCCTTGACTAGCACCTTTTAATTTAAACACATCAAGACATAAATCATGCTAAGGGACACCTGGCTGACTTTTTGGGGGGATCATATTTCAGAATAATCTTTGGACGCCAGATAATTCATTTTATCACTAAAGATCAGAACTGAAGATGTCCATTTTTTTAAAACAAAAATTTGGCTAAGTAACCATGCAGAGAGAGAAAAATGCCAGTTCATTTCCATATGATGATGTTTGTCCATCATTTTCGAAGAGGACCTTGACATCTAACAGGTTGTGGGCTGTTCACAATGTGTCCGCAGGTGGATATTAAGGCTTATATGGGCACGAAATGTTCTGCCACATGTCGGGCAGACTTGTGTGGGCACCATTGTTGCAGCATTTTCAGCTCTGGCTTTGCTTGTTTCTCTTGTGCTGTGGTTGTTCTTCTGTCCTCAGATGTCTGGCAGCCATAGTGGATCATCGTATCCCATGTCGATCGGTCTTGTGCCAGGGTTTCCCAGGGGTTGGTGTCAATATCCAGGGATTTGAAAGAGGCTTTCAACGTGTCTTCGTATCTCTTCCTTTGTGCCCCAGATGATCACTTTCCTCCTTTCACCATAGAGGAGCTGCTTGGGGATGTGATGGTCTGGCATCCTTGCAACATGGCCTGCCCAATGTGTCTGGGCTTTCATCAGCAGGGTGGGAACTGATGACCTGCCTGCTCTGGAGATGACTCTGTGTCTGGCACCTTTTCCTGCCACCAGATCCATAAACTGTATTTACATAAACTACATTCATATAATCTACATCCATAATCTACATCCATAATCTACATCCATAATCTACATCCATAAACTACATCCCATAAACTACATTTCCATAAACTACAAGTGTACCAGAAATACTTTTTACTCTAGAAGTGTTAGAATGAAATCCATATATTATTTCTTCTTCAACACCTGTGTTTATCAAGAACTGGTTGAAAGCATTTTATTTTTACTTTGATACTCATGTGTGATGCAATAAACTACAGATGCTTAGGACCATCTGACCTAAGGCTGCTAGCATCTTTAAATTGGACAGATGCTCATTGGTCTATTTAGGCCAATTCAAGTGGATCTTTTCAGTGTACTTTAGGCATCTAATAGTTTTAGCATGTGTTTAGATGAAGATTCAATGCCTCCTGAGAGGTGACTACGTGTTTGTATCACAAGCCATTACATGTTATTGGGCAGTCATTTACAGTTACACTAAGCTGTTTGTGAGGTTCTTTCAACAGAGACAAAAGTACTAAAAAGATCAAAGCATGTTGGCTGAGGTGGCTCTACCTTCTTCTTCTTCTTTTTAACTGTTTAGGAAAGTACTGCAAAAGAGGAAGCAGCCAAGAATGACTTAAACTGCCCATACAAACTGGAGGATTAAAACCATATGACTTTGAACTCCATAGTCTCTTGGTACACCATAAGACAAGAAAAACAGACTTTTGTTTATTTTACAGTTTAACAGAGACAAAGAGCTTTAATTAGGACATTCTAGAGGAATAATAACTCATAGGATAAAAACAATGTCTGTTTTACTTATGATTCAAAGACAGATTTGTGAAACATGCCCAAGACATCAAACTTGAAAACTTGGATAAAATTAATAAATATCAAAACTGTCCGTTTTGATCACACTACAGAATGTAGAGAAATCTTCCTGGAATTTTATGCAGATGAAATCATGTTAACCATATACTCTGCAAAACGCTAATGATTATGTTAAAAATAGATATTTTTCTTGGAAATCAATACGCTATACTATTGTTTGTAAGACTTCAATTATCTAAAATGTTCAGCCAAATATATTTCATTAAAATATACAGCTTCTCATTGCTAGATATGATAACACAGTTATGGGAAATGTATCACCAGGTTGTAAGAAAGAGGACCATTATCTAATAGAATAGGCTAAGTATTGTAAATACTTATTTTTTATTATGGGGGAGGGGTTATCCTAAATTAATAGTACTTAATCAGAACAAATTCTGTCTTTTGGTTATGGACCAGCATAATACTTAATAAAAGAAAGTTACTGGCAAAATTAGTGTTTTTGATTGACATATTCATTCAAATTATTCAAGTAGAATAGTACACAGAACATAGAATGTAGAGTTGGAAGGGACCATGGAGGTGTTCTAATCCAATCTCCTGCTCAAGCAGGACATTCTATACCAGCAAACAGCTGAGAAATGATTGCCCAGGCTCTTGAAGGCCTCCAGTGATGGAGCAGCCATAAATCTGAAGGCAAGATATTCTGTTGTTTGCTTGCTCTCACCATTTGGAAATTTCTCCTTAGTTCTAGGTTGTTCTCTCCTTCATTAGTTTCCATCCATTCATGTCTTGTTTTTGGTGCTTTAGGAATAGTTTGACTCCCACATCTTTGCAGGAGTCCCTCAGATATTGGAACACTGCTATCATATCTCCCCTAGTCCTGCCCCTAGTCTTTCTTTTCATTAGACTAGACATACTGAATTCCTGTAACATTCTTTGTATGTATTAACCTCCAACCCCTAATCATTTGTGTTATTTTCTCTGCACTCTTTCTAGAATCTCAATATTTTTTTATATTGTGGTGACCAGAACTGGATGCAGTACTCCATGTGTGGCCTTACTATGGCTTTGTACTAGAACTTCATGTGATCTTGATTCTATCCCTCTATTAATGCAGCCCAGGATTGCATTGACTTTTTTGGTTGCTGCCACAGTTGACTTATATTTCAATGATTGTCCACTATGATTCCAAGATGCCTCATACAGTTATTGGTGTTAAACCAAGTCTCACCTACTCTGTACTTATATAGTTGGGTTTTCTTGCTTAATTGTATGGATTAATAAAAGTAAATAGAAAGATTCCTAAATTTGTCTTGCTTTAACAAGCCTGCGATCATTATAATATCATTATCATATAAATAGATTTTGGATACTGTTGTTTACATTTTTAGCCAATACATTGATATGACAAAGTTATGCTATGGAGCCAGTGGCTGGGCTGATTTGTACAATCAAGTAATGGATTTTTTAAACAATATTCTTCTAAATTAGAAGTTGAGTTGAGTTGAGTTTATTGGTCTTGTATGCTGCCCACTCCCGAAGGACTCCGGGCGGCTTACAATAAACAAGGGAAGGGGATAAATAAACAAAACAACACTTTAAAATACACAACAGTCACAGTTTCCGTGGGGCTGGATATTTCAAAAGCCCCCCGGCCTGCTGGAGCAGCCAGGACTTAACGACTTTGCGGAAGGCCGGGAGGGTAGTAAGGGTCCGGATCGCCACGGGGAGGTCATTCCAGAGGGCTGGAGCTGCGACAGAGAAGGCTCTCCCCCGGGGAGTCGCCAGCCGACATTGGCTGGCAGATGGGATCCGGAGAAGACCTAACCTGTGAGATCTAATCGGTCTATGGGAGGTAATCGGCAGGAGGCGGTCTCTCAGGTACCCAGGTCCGATGCCATGTAGAACTGTTTCTCAAAGAAAGGGCCTCAAAATTATAACCCATTGTGCATTATATCTATTTAAAATGCATTTGATTTCAACTGCACATAGTTCTTATAATAATAGGGGCAGCAATTTACAGCAGAAAAAAAATCAAGGAAGTAAGTTTCTTAAACTTTGTCCCTCAGACATGGCAGATCCTACAATGAGGTAAGTGAGGCAGACTGTTCAAGCTAGTTATGCTAGAGATAGGAGAGTTAACGGGCGTATTTGATGATAAGAGTTTTTCATCAGGATGTTTGCAGCAACTTAAGCTACTGCATTTGTTTATCCTCAGGTGTAGCATAATGCGAGATGTTGTCCTGTTTCCAAATTACAGTGTTAGTTTCATTCATTTTCTGAAATTGGTTCCTACCTGTTTCAGACAAAGAAACCCATGATCTCAGGAATGCATAATATGCGCATTTCCACTGAAGAATGTCTCCTGATTTTCTTCATAGAAATAAAAAAATAGGCCCTTGTCACTTTCTTTTCCAGATTCAAAAGACAAGAATCCATTTCTATCGTTGTAATTCAAGCAGAAAAGTCATCGTAGGAGAAAGAGCTAAGGAGTTTCCCCACGACTGTGGTTCAGTGCAAATTGCAGCCTTTTGAACCTCATTTCTTGAGTTGGTTTGCTTGATTGTTAACCAATTACCACCAATGACAAGTTCACTTGCTATTTAGCCTGCAGGCACCGTAATAACGACTTGGAGGCACTGAAAACATGGTGCAAGAAACCTTTATAAACATCACTTACTGCTGACTTGAAGATAAACTTGCTTGACAGCTAAACTTACTTCATGTGCAAGTTATACCAAATGTAACATGATTTATTAAAACATCGCTTATTTAAGTGGGCTGCGAAGGAGCGGATCAAATGTTCTTTTATCTTAAAATTCTGTATCAAGAAATGTTTACAAACCTGCTGAACTGGCTCTTTCTTCATTTCTTTTTTCTATAAACAGCATCTTTTCCCAATTATCTGCTTAACTGTAATCTATAAAATCACTCTAGTTAAAGTAAACCATATGTATTTCATAAAAGTATGCATGTGTGACATATATAGGCTAGGTTCCTTGGCCAGCTTAAGTGTTCTCTCCATAAGGCCCAAGGGTGAAGAGAAAGCGATGGCTACCTGCCATTTTTCCATTCTCTGTGCCTGGACAAGCCGTAGAAAAATCTAACATCATGATGTAATGGAGACAAGGAAAGAACTCTATTAGTCTCAGCTTCCCAAATGTAAATTAAATAAATAAAGAGCCATTTGGCTCCCCAAACTCAAATAGTAAGGTTGAAAAGACTTACATCATCGACACATCAGAAATGAAAGTTATTCAGAACTCAGCAAATTCTTCCCTAACTGAGATATTAAACATGGAAGTTGAAGGTTGAGATGGACTCTTTCCCCATAACTGGGACAGAATGCATGGCAATACCCCCTGTCCATGTGCCCCCCTTAAATGATGGTAGTATAATCCCCACTCTCTTGCCTAATTTCCTTGTTACAGACTCTTTGTTAATTAACTTTTTAAAATGCTGAAAAAAGAATTGTGAACCAAAACTCTGAATAAATTTCCTAACCTTTATATGCTCTGATCAGTTTTTAATAATGTCATACAGTTTATTTGATCTACATGCTCCTTAGTAACTTTGCAAAGAATACTAATGTAAGCATATTAAAAGTTTCTATATCGTCTGATTTTAATAGGCTTCTCACAGAAGCCCATCAAAGTGATATTGTCACTCTCCGTAAACAGCTGCTGGGCGTCCTGGTTTCCATGTCTTGGAGGGTGGACAATGAGGAGACCCTGGAAAGTCCTTCAAGCAACAGGAGATGGCATGAAGCCGATGTTGCTCGCCCTTGCATAGTGAGTCCCACTTCTAGTGCAATGGGTCCATTACAATGTGATTTTTATGATATAATGAGGTTAATAGGACAGAGCTATTTAATATAATCTGAATACAAGCAGTCCTTGATTTACAACAATTCATTTAGTGACCGTTCAAAGTTACAATGGCACTGAAAAAAAGTGACTCTGTTTTTCATATTTATGACCGTTGCACCATCCCCATGCTCATGTGATCAAAATTCAGATACTTGTCAACTGGCTCATATTTAGGATGGTTGCAGTTATCACGGGGTCATCTGACCACCTTTTGTGTCTTTCTGACAAGCAAAGTCAATGGGAAAGCCAGATTCACTTAACAACCCTGTTAATAACTGCAGTGATTCATTTAACAAATGTGAC